CTTTATTTTTAATAGTGTAGGCATAGCGCACATCTGAGATGAAATCTTGCACTTAGTCTAAGGTAGGCATAAATTGAAAAGTCACAACTGGTTTGTACAAGATTATTTTCTTGTCCGTGAGTTAATTGTGAATTAATTATTGTGGACATGAAATGTAATATTTATGGTGAGTTTGCCCAGGATAAGTGATATATAGCAATTGTTAAGATGGCTGTGCTGACACAGATAACTGACTTCACCCTCAGAAAAAAAGGTACAGTGGAGGTACAATTTTGAGAACAAAATATATGACTGTACCTTTAAAGGTACACAATTGGTCTTAGGGTCCAATTATACAATAGTTTTCCTCTACCTAGAGGTACAGAAATGTACACTTAGGGTACCACCCCAGTGACGGCCACTTGCACCTTAAAATGTAAAATGTTAAGAGCATTAACTTAAAATGTTCTGTATGTAATCATGCATGAAATATTAAATATGAACTTATCTGTGCATATCGTGCTCAGAGGGACAGTATGCATGGACATAATATTTCACATTTTAATGTGTATTCTCAGCAAGTGATATTTAGCCTGCAACTAATTTAAATTCACTGTACTAAAAAAAGCAATATTATCTGACACTGAATTAGGCTACGTAACCAAAGTGAATAACTACAGGCTGCAAGGTGAATTATACCTTTAAAAAAGCATTAATCTGTATTCAGATTTCAGAACTAACACTTTATTTGCAGTGGGTTTAAATGTTGCACAAGCTCGCTTACACTTGTAATAAGCTGGGGCAATTCCCGACATTAAATACATAACCATTTACATACTTAGGATGTTTGCACGTAGGGAGTTCAGATATAAAAACGCTCATTGTTAGGTGACATTTACTCACTGAAATCAGATGGGTTCACTTGTTATGATGTCACAAACATTTTACTTCTTTATTTATAGCAAAGTTTGTAACTATTGCAAATCATCTACACTGGCGTAGTTGTGCATGGCTGTAGTTTTAGTTGGTGCAACAGGTGTAAATATTGATTGGAACGCCGGATGAGCTTAAACTTTTTTTTTTTTTTTTTGCATCCAGCTGGTTAAATTAGCCCCTGTAGTTTGAAATGATATGTTAATTGCTTTTTGACTAATGCATTTATTTTACTTCTGTTGTTGCTCATGATTACTGCTGAATTATTTTTTAGAGAGATGGCTATTTGCATTTGTTTGTTCAGCAACAATCCTTGAAATTAATATATTAAAAAAGAAACACACAAACAAAAAAGCACAGTGTTTTGAAAAGCACTTTCTGAGCCCCTGTTGAGTTTGAGTATAGGAATGTCCATTATTTTTCATGACATTTTAAAATATTTTCAGGACTTTTTCCAGTCCTGTAAATCAGTTTTCAAATTATCTGATAAACAGAGACAACAGCAAGTGAAAATGCACTGTAGTTTGTTACACTGAAATATCAAGCCATAATAATGCTTAAACTTACCAGTCAGATAGCACCCGCACAAACAGAACAAAACAAGCATGTGAAACATGTTCTTTACCCGTTCAGTGTCTGATCTAAAATGACTATTGACTGATCTGCTATGAGTCCCCCCACCACTTAGTTTGACCCTCGTATAGTTCACACAACCGAAACACATGCCATATGTCCTATAGTTACATCCAAATAATCTTCTGGCTCTAATTAAGACTTTAACTGTTTTGATCATTTAACACTGATCATTTTGTTGAACTTTCAGAATGTTGT